AAATGCCCTTTCCTCTTCTTTATCTCTTTTATATCTTCTTCATTCTAAATTTATATTTCAATTCACTTAAAACTGTTTGAAAGACTACAAGATATCGTGCCTTCCTTCAAATTAAAAAGGAGACTTATCTTTCCTCTTGAATTTTTTTTTGGTGGTACCTGGGGTTGAACTTAGGGCCTTGTGCTTGTCAGGAAGACCCTCTACTGCTTACATCACCATGCCCCTAGCCCTTCTTGAAACTTTTGTCCTTTATGAAATTTATTTCTACTATGCTTTCCTTCCCTCGCATACCACTTATCCATCCCACAGTATAGTTTCTATCCTTGTTAAAAATCTAATGGATGATGGTGGCAGATCATGGTAGTATGACTCCAGTAGTATTAGTGAAATGTGTAATTTAAAAGAAGTTTTGAGTGTCTCTGAAGTATTACTATCCTTCAGAACCAATGTTTGCTTTTATATAATTAGGTAAAAATTCATGTGAATTTTCACTAATCTACTTTTAGCACATGCTGAGACCTTTGGCTCCTTCTAAAACATCCCTCAAAAATACTAAGGTTAGTTCCTTTAAAATTCTTTCTTCTTTGAGCAAGGTTCCTAAAATGACCACCCGTTAAATGGTGTCAAAGATGTGAGCTCTAAGTACCTCCAAATCTCTTCAATTTACCAAGTCCCAACCACAGAGATCTGGAAACAGATCATAAGGGAAATAACCAATTGCCTACATCAATCTGGTTTCTGGGAGAAAAATTTAAAACTCGGTTTTCTACCTTAGCATTGCAAATGACAACAAAAACCCACTTGATTTCTTCCCACTGAGCAACCAACAGGTATAAGTGGCACACAGAGAGGTTTCCCCTTTCACAGAGCTTAGAAGATAAAGCAGAGAACAGATCAATTTCATTGTCCTTCTGGACCTCTAAGCAGCCCAAGTAGTTGTATAACATAACGAAAACCATCAAAACCTAAAGAATGGCAGGGAAAAACGGAACACAAAGGCCAATCAACTAATCTCTCATCCATATTAGTAGTACTTACAATAACAAATATTACCTTTTATTCAGTATCAACTATGTAAAAGATACTGCTAGATTCTTTACAAACATAATATAAAAAAATCTTTCCAATTTCAACAGGCCTCCAAAGAAGGTATTATTACTTAGTTATATACTAAAGAATCAAAAGGAGACTCAGAGAACTTCAGTAACATTTCCAAGATGTCAGACAAGCCAGTTAGTGCAAAAAACAGATTTTTTTTTTAACTCTAAAGCTGGGTACTTTCTTCCCTGTCATTTTCCTTGCTATGCCAATTAAAACAGTAAAGCCACCATTCGACTTCACTTTCCTTCTGCAAGCTTTTGATACTAGCATTGATCTGAGTCATATGTTCCAGAGATACAAGCAGTTCAAAATTAATAATAATTGGTAATATTAATCAATTTTTCAAATGGCTATATCCTTTATGTCTTACATTATTACATGCTGACATGTTTCAGAATTACCATTATTAGACATATTTCTCTTTATTTTTAAAATTTTATTTTACTTTTGTATTAGCATACATTAAAAATATGGGATTCACTGTGATAATTCTGTATATATGTACAGTGTACTTTGAATAAGTTCACCCTCTCTATTATATTCCCATTCCTCTCTCCCTCCTTTCCTCTTTTTATCAAACATTGTTTGGTGGGTTTCATTATGTTGTCTTTGTGTGTGTGTGTGTGTGTGTGTGTGTATGTAGTGTGTTCTGGTCATCTTCACCACTGCATAGTGTTTCCTTTCCCCCTCTACCTGTCAAGTTTCAGATATATTTTTCCTTTTATATACATTCATCCAGGCAAAAATCCACTAGGTTCATCAAACTGCTTGGTTTTGTAAATGGCATATTCATTTACATGGTTAAAGTCTTAAGAATAAGCTTTCTTTATTCAAAGACTGAAAATTACCAAGAATTTTTATGTTTTAATAAACTCAATTTTCTGTAAGAACCTAATACTTCAAAAGCATAATCTAATGCCAACATATAAAATATCTTATCTTTTTCAGTAAGGCACTGATCTGTGTTTGAATAGTTGATCAATAAATCAAGCTATTAGAACTTTAAAAACAAAAAAACCCATAAATTTGGTATACTGTATCTTTAAAATGCCAAAAGTTACAATTCATGAATATAGATCCTCACACTGAAATAGACTTTAAAATGGGCTGAAATTACCTGATTTCATGTATATGAAAGAGTCTGAATCATTCATGTATGATAGGTAAATGTATCTGTAGTTAAAATTATATTGTTTTAAATTACAACCTCATTTTATGTTTCTAAGTTTCATAGAGTTTTATGTACTATAAAATCATCTACATTAACCTTTGACAGGTTTATTCTGTTAAAGGAGATTTGTACCTGAGCAATCTACTTAGAATAAAAAACCATAGGTGTCACTGTTTTTATCATATCTTCCTTTTTCCATTTTTTTGGCAATTAAATTCTACAAATACCACTTACCATTTGTGATTTAAAATGTCTTAAAGCAATTATACCAACGAAGCCAATTTAATTTTTGATAATACTTAACATTTACTTCAATCTTCTTCACAAATAGAGAATAAATTCTCAAGTAAATTCCCTTCTAACCATATGTAAAATAGACCTAACTATGCCTCACATGTAAGACTTTGATTGTTTTTTATTTTTTAGCTAGAAGAGACCAGGATCCAGGAAACTTTTCCTATAGAGGGTTAGAGAGTAAGTATTTTAAGTCAGGAGAGCCACAGGGTCTTTGATGAAGCTATTTGTTGTGGTTTGAGCACAAAAGCAGCCACAGATAATATACAAGGAGTGTGGCTAGATGAGTTGGCACCCCCACTGGATTTGGCTCACAGCAGTAGTGTGTTGATCATTGAGCTAAATCCTAGGGAAAATATGAAAAACTGGGTCACTACAATCACCCAGGATATCTTACCATTTAGCCTGCCAGAAGAAACCATTTATAGCCATGCTGAGTTTAGACTGCTTTAGTACTGAAAAGAGCATTAATCTTCACCCAGAGAGGGCTAAATATCATAGTTCACTGAAATTAGTTTCTACTTTTCCAGAGAAGTTCAAAGGTTTACTGAAATTACTTTCCACTTTCCAGATAGCTATACAAGTTTCCTAAGTAAATTACCAAACAAAGACCCATTCTAAGTGTGGCCAGGCTTTCTACATTATCCACTACCAATCTCTCTTGCCTTCTTTCCCTAACTTACCCCAATTCTACCGGATGCTATACATATGTTTTTTTCTCTGGGAGGTTGAAGTATTACCACCACCTCTCCATATAAAAAGTGAATTTTTTCCCCCTACTCCTGTTACCAGAGTCAGACAATATAGATACTCATCTTCTCAGCCTCCTTTGTGGCTTAGCATGGCCATATAATAAAATGTAGGACAGTTAATATCAATACAAGACTATTAAGTGGGGCATGGGAGATGCTCTGAGGAGGTGTTTATGTTTTTTAAAAAGAAGGAGAATAGTCACAATTGTCAGAACCTCTCCAGTTTCTTCCCACCTGAATGCAAATGTGCCTAGAACTGGAGCAAACATTAATAAAAGCTAGAACAGGAGAGATGCCACCACTTAAAACTTTAAGCCACCAAATCAATGCCAGAGGCCATCTATCTCCAGAATTCTTATTATGTGAGAAAAATAGGCCCTATAAATTGAAATTTTGATGCAATAAAAGCATCCCTAACCTACCAATTTCTTGAAAGTGCTAGGCAAAGTGTGCTATGAATTCTGAGTAAACAGCATTCCTTTAGTGTGGAGAGAAAAGTAGCAGGAAGAACATGGTCTGGCCTGAAGGTTGACATCTAAGGCAATGAAGTCAAAGTGGACAAAGGAAAGAGAAGACCTGAGATGATTTCCAAATGCTACAGATAAGTAAAAAAAAAGAACCCTCTAAAATGATTCCTTTGTAATTGTGGCGTCAAAAAGTCTTATTAATTGTCCACTCAGCAAATCAAATCTGAGAATTCTGATTAACTTCCTATCATGTGCATCTACTATTTGAACACTAGAAGTCCAGAACTCTCTATTTTTGGTAATAGTCCTGTGTTTTTCAAGCTAATTAATTTATCTTTACACTTCCATTTCTGTGGTATTCACAAAGGCATGTCTATTGTCAATTCATAGCCATTTTTGACAATTGCAGAATCCTTGAAATGATTATTACACTCACTTAATAATGATACTGCCAATAAGGACAATGGTTCTTTCAAGCATTCACACACTGGAAGATCCATCACCCTAAGTTTAGGGACAGTCTGTACTCTTCTACATCAATGCCACTGCACAAAACACCCAGTAATAAGTAATTCTACCTGAATTAAAAGAAACTTCAAAAGTATGCTTATTTTAATTCACATATCCCTTTAAGGACAACTTTTAAGCTAAAATATCTGTTTTTACTTTAGTTTCTTACAAACAATGTATATGTATATAAACACACACAACTCTAGTTCTAAACCCTACAGTTTTCTGTCCTATCAGAATAGTTTGGTTTATGCTATAGTGTAAACATTTATCAATTAGAATACCTATACATTACAAAGGAATTTTTATTTTTATGATTTCAGAGTAGAATTCCTTAGGGTTATCAAAGCTTCAGTTAGGAATAATACCAAGTACAAGGTGCTTCATGCTCAACTACAGCAGTGGAATGGAATTTAATAAAGTTTCAACACTACATTTTAATGCCCTAATTTCTTACTGTCTTTTTAGTTGACAGATATGTGCTTTGCAGCATAACAACAGCAGCAGAACAGCTGGATGGCCTTATCACGCACAAAGGAAGCAATAGCACATGCTGTTAAGTGTTGTTCTGACTGCCTAGAAATGGCAGCACATGCAGATTTATTTCATCATAAATTAGAACAATTATTTCTCTGGAGTTTACATTTTCTTCATGGAAGAGTCAAACTTTCTGCACGCTAAAAAGAGGACTTTCAAAAAGGATATCTTCCCTTTCTTTGATGATCAGTTCATTCTGTTCTTCCAACTGCCTGATCTTCTTCTCAAATGATTCTTGCTCAGCTTTCAGTCGTTCTTCTGTAACTTCTTTTTCTTCACTTACTCTGAAAGAAATACAAAAATGAAGAAAATGAAAAGCCCATCAGAATAAAAAATACATGCCTACAATTACAGTTTATTAAGACTAAGTTTCCTGCAAAGGTGTGCTGAATTCTTCAGATATACTCTGTGTTTTTTAATTTAATTTATCATAACAAAATCTTCCTCACCTTTGTAACAAAATATGGATGTGGTTTTTATTTCCAGAATGTTTCCAACATGAGAAACATCTTAAATATAGAAAGTCCCACACAAAACACAGGTGCTGAATTATAATCCAGGGAGGAAAACTGTTCTAATTTTTAAAGTACTGCTTTCATTTTTTACTTATTAAAAGTACCAATTTGTTTTGCTCTAGATTCCTTTCATAGTTTTATTTAAATCTTGCCAATGAAACAAACAATATCTACATCTTAAATATTTTACTAAATATACGTAGGCATTTTTACGTTTTGCCTGATAGATAACCTACATTCCTCAGTAGCATATAAACAGTTGAACCTGAATAAAAAGATGACATTCACATGAAGGAAGGTATAAACTACCTTCCTTCAAAAAGGCTTTATACTTTAAAACACATACCAAAAATATCAGTATCAATAATGTCTAACTCTGAATTCCAACTTCCTCACACCAATAAAGGATGTTTTCTGTCTAGGCCACATAGGGAAAAAACGATTTTTTTTAAAAAAAGTTAAACAACAAGACCAATACTAAAATTTACAACTCAACAAAGTATATATTAGAACAACTCTAATTTTCATGCTTCTCTGTACACAGAGATGTTAAGCTTGAATTTCTCTGTTGCTGGCATTTATTTCTTCAAAGAGAAGATACATATTTATCTGACAAGATCATGCAGGGCTGGGTATAAGTTAAAGCCACAGGGAATCTAAACCTTTTGTTTAAACTACTAAATGTACTTCTTTGCAGAGCCCCCCCACAAGAACAACGTTCTTGTAACATAGATTCCATAGGCTTTCTTTTTTTTGCTTGCCCTCCACAGAGCTATTGAACTCAATTAGATAAGTGAAGGAAAATTAGAATTTGGAATATTCAAGAGTTGACTGCATCTTGTTTTTGAAATAATTGGTGTGAAAGAACATAGCACATGGTTCAATAAATAGATCAATTTCTTCTGGCTCATCATGACATTCAAGTCACCTCCCTAACGTGTTATTATTTACCATTTCCATACTACTAGGCCCTTCTTTCTAACAGTATAATCACTAAGACTGATATGTTTATATGAATCCAGACAACTAAACAAATACACACATATGAAGAGGAATTATATTGTAATAAATCCTGTCTTTTTGCTCCGATCTCTTCGAAATGCCTTCCCTTTCCTCATCATTACTTTCAAGTACACTTGCACTAACATCTTTCATAGCAACTTTGACAAATTTTGTGTATCTCTCTGGGCATCCTCTTATTTATAAAGGAAAAGGCTAGACTAGACAATTATAAAAGTCTTTTCCAGCTAGAGTTCTAGAAGCTCCTTCACTATATTATATATATACTGACTGTATGTATATGCTGTTTATAAACACAAAGAAATAAGAAAGTGGTTATCAATCATTTGACCAAGGTACAAAGCATTCAATACTATAAGCAAAATTTATGCCCACAGGATGAGAAAGGAAGAAATATTAAAAAAAGATAAATATGTGAAATTTGGCATAAATGTTAAATAAAGGAGGTGATGAATTTGTAGGATTCTCCATAAGACAAAGGTGAAATAAATGATGCTACCCATTGTAAGGAAAGAACAAACACTGTCAAAGTGGGAAAACATGTAGCAAAATTTCTCTTCACTTAGATTGGTAAAACTATGAAGACATGAATGAAGAAGAAAAATCTCAAAGTTGATAAAGGAACATTTAATTTTCATATGTGTATTCACTTACAAATACCTCCTGAATGCTTACTATGGGAAAAATAATAACAATAACTTTATGCAATACAGAGTAGCAAAAGTGAATTTAAAAAGAGATCTCTGTAGTTTTAATCCCACTCAGAAAAGCCATATAAACGTGAAAAGTGCCTCAAAGATTTGTTTCTTTACCAAGCAATGCTCCAGGGCTATACAAAACAGTAACAAAGTATATTGCCAATGCCGGACATGGTGGTGCACACCTGTAATCCTAGCACTTAGATGGCTGAGACAGGAAGATCCTGAGTTCCAGGCGAGCCTGAGATACACAGTGAGAACTCACTCATAAAACCAAAAGGACAGTGTGGTGGCTCACACCTATAATACCAGTTAATCAAGAGACAGAGATCAGGAGGACTGCAGTTCAAATCCTGCCTGGGGAAAAATTAGTGAGACTCCCTCTCAATAAATAAGCTGGGTGAAGTGTGCACACCTGTTATCCCTGCTATACAGGAGGCTATAGCTGGGAGGATCATAGTTCAAGGTCAACTCTGGGCAAAAACATGAGACCCTACCTGAAAAATAACTAAAGCAATAAAACAAAAGCATGGCTCAAGTGGTAGAGTGCCTGCCTAGCAAGTCAATGAGTTCAAATCCCAGTACTGCCAGGAGAAAGAAAAGTAAAAGAGCAAAGGGGGAAAAAAAAGTACATTGCCAAGTTTACCTTAACATTAATCTAAATTCACAGATTATCTCTCTTGCCTGGCTAACACTTACTTGCTTTGTGGAGGACCTGAACAAGATCCATGAAGACCTATATGGATCTGTGATGGCAAAAATGCTTGTACAGTCAAATTTCATAATGCAAGAGTCTAGGATGAAGTTTTTTTTACAAAGCTTTATGTGCTCTATCCAGATAAAAAAATCACTTGTCTGTGTTACATTTATTGATCACAGTATATAATAGAAGCAAAGACAAAAACCACTTGATCATCTCAACAGATGCAGAAAAAGCCTTCAATATGATTCAATACCATTTCATGATAAAAGCTCTGATGAAATTAGGAATAGAAGGAATGTACCTCAACATTATAAAGGCTATATATGACAATGTTATAGCCAACATCATACTTAATGGGGAAAAACTGAAACCATTTCCCCTAAAGTCAAGAATGAGACAAGGGAGCCCACTCTCCCCATTCCTATTCAACATAGTCCTGGAATTCCTAGCCAGAGCAATAAGGCAAGAAGAAGAAATAAGAGGAATACAAATAGATATGAAGACTAGTGGAACATAATAGAGGACCTTAATATAAATCCACACAGCTACGCCCACCTTATTTTTGACAAAGGCGCCAAAAACATATGATGGAGAAAAGACACCTCTTCAACAAATGTTGCTGGGAAAAGTGGTTATCTGCCTGGAGAAAACTGAAACTAGATCTGTGCCTATCATCCTGTACTAGTATCAACTCAAGGTGGAGTAAGAACTTTAATATCAGATCTGAAACCTTGAAGTAAGCACAGGAAAGAGCAGGGAGTAACAGGCATAGACAAGGACTTCCACAGTAGAACTCACACAGCCAGCAACTAACAGAAAGGATGGACAAATGGGACTACATGAAATTTAAAAGCTTCTGCACAACAAAAGAAATGGTCTCTAGATTGAAGACACTACCCACAGAATGGAGAAAATCTTTGCTAGCTATGCATTGACAAGGGACTGATAACCAGAATACACAGGGAGCTCAAAAAACTAAACTCCCCCAAAATATGAACCAATGAAGAAGGGGGCAACTGAACAAAACAGAACTTTTTCAAAGGAAGAAGTCCAAATGGCCAAAAGACACTGAAAAAATGCTCACCGTCTCTGGCCATAAAAGAAATGAAAATCAAAATCACACTAAAATTTCACCTCACACCTGTTAGAATTGCTACCATCAAGAACACCACCAACAACAAATGTTGGCAAGGATGCAGGAAAAAGGAACCTCATATACTGCTGGTGGGAATGTAAGCTAGTACAACCACTAGCTTATAACAATATGGAGGATTCTTAAAAAACTAAACATAGATCTGCCATATGATCCAGCAATACCACTCCTAGATATATGTCCGAAAGAATGAGAGTCAGATAATTACAAAGGCACCTGCACACCCATGTTTATTGAAGCACTATTCATAATAGCCAAGCTATGGAAACAGTCAAGATGCCCCACTACTGGATTAAGAAAATGTGGTGTTTATACATGATGGAATTTTATTCGACACAAAGAAGAATGAAATTTTGTCATTCGCAAGTAAATAGATGGAACAAGAGAATATCATCTTAAGTGAAGTTAGCCAGGCTCTGAAGGCCAAAAATCATATGTTCGCCCTCATATGTAGATTATAGAGCTGAAAAAAATGCAGCAGTATTATTGGACACAGTAAGAGGAGAACATGCACAGAAGGAATAGGTAAAGGGAAGGAAACCTAAAACATGAATGTGGTTGATGTGCTCCCTGTTGGGAATGAATACAGTAATCTTAAACTGGCACAGGCCACAATGGGAAGGGGACCAGGAAGTAATGAAGAGGTCTAGTAGAGATGAACCAATGTGGGTTATAATATACACATGCATGGAAGCAATGCTAGGAATCTCTCTGTATAGCTATTTTTATCTCAAACTAGCAAAAACACTATGTTTTTCTTATTATCTTTTATGTCTTCTCTTCTACAAAATCAGAGAATAAAAAGGTGGAACAGGTTCTGCCCAGAAGTGAAGGGGTAGGGAGGAAGGTGGCCCAAATAATGTATATACATGTAAGTAAATGTGAAAACAATTACAAAAAAAAGCATCCATGTAGATAAAAAAAAATCACTTGTCTAAATTTCATTTCTGGAGCCTGGGAGCATCAGCTTTGAGACTGGGAGACTTGAGACACCCACCTGGGTCCCACCAGCAGCACAACAGTGACACCAAAACATGCCTGGGAGCCAGCCCAACCTCTCCACATGGGCCCAGAAGCCTCACCTCTCAGCACTGGCCAGCTCTCCAGTCGCCTTGCCCCTTAGCATAGACTCAGAAGCCCCACCTAGCCAGCCTATACAGCCCAGCCAGCCAGCAGAGTTCACCTAGCCAGAAGT